AAGATCCGGCGGTGCGTAGGAGGAGGAACCTCCACGGCCTTCTGGTGTTAATGCCAGTCGGAGTTTATATGCTAATGTGCACCTTTTGTCATTTGTCTTTTCATGAGAGGTTTTGAGTTATGGAAGAGTTTAACAAAGGGCTGGAGATCTGAGGTATTTCTAAAAGTGCAGGTAACCTGAATGGTTTGAGCACGTATGATTTAATTCGCTGTGAAACCTTCATTTATTAGATGCTTTTATTTGAAGTGAGTCACCGAGGAACCTGGGGTTAAAGGGATAATTCACCCAAATATTACAAGTCTGTCATCATTTACTCATCCTCATGACATTTCAAACCTGTGTATGACTCTCAAACACAGACGTTCAGCAAAACGTCCCAGCTGCTCTTTTCTATGAAATGAAAAAGTGAATGTGGTGGAAGCAAAAATAATCAAAACAACACCTAAAATACAATTAGTCTATTAGACTTGTATATAGATATTAAAGTTAATATTCACTAAAATGCACTCTATATAAATGCAGCAATTTTAACAGTAAAAGACTGTAAAAATGCTATTAATTAAAGTAATTAAAGGGTTAGTTCACCCAAAAATGAAAATTAGGCTGTGTTTTACTCACCCCCGAGGTGTATATGACTTTCTTCTTTCAGACGAATCCAGTCGGAGTTATATTAAACATAGTCTTTGATCTTTCAAGCTCTATCGTTGTACTCAGCGGGTGTTGCATTATAAAATATCCATATTCAAAACGTAATAATCACTTGTCGCATATCGCATTTTTCTTCAATATCCGTAATAATCACTTTAATGTAGCTTGCGCCAACAGTCCTACACGGAAGCAGCTCCGGGCTGATGACGTATGAGTTCAGCATTGCGCATGCGCCGGTGAGTCTTGTGAAAACCAACATTTGTTAACAGGAGCAAATGAAGCAAAGTTTCCTTACTTTAACAAAGGAAAACCAGTCTCCTATTGGCTTATATCGAAATTCTCCGACATTCTTCTTTACAAATCCTCGTTTTGTACTTCTAATAAGTGACCGGTGTTTAGTTTTGATCTACGCTGAACTCATACGTCATCCGTCCGGAACTGCTTCTGTGTAGGACTGTTGGCGCAAGCTACATTAAAGTGATTATTACGTTTTAAATATGGATATTTTTCTTACAAAAACGCATCGATTCGCTACAGGCCTTTGTTCACCCCCCGGAGCCGTGTGAGACTTTTTTTTTAATGGATGGGCGCTTTTTATTTAACTTCTTTTGAACTGATGCATGCAACACCCGCTGAGTGGCATTAAATAGCTTGAAAGATCAAAGAAATTTTTTTATATAACTCCCAACTGGATTCGTCTGAAAGAAGAAAGTCATATACACCTAGGATGACTTGAGGGTGAGTAATTTGTGGGCTAATTTTCATTTGTGGGTGAACTAACCCTTTAAGGGTGGACACTCAGGCTTAGGCTTTGAGAGCAGGTTGGAAGAGCCAAACCTGTTAATTCGAAGGGGATGTCCATATGTGTCAGTTTGACCATAATTTGTAGTGTTCATATTGAATTCTCTAATTGCGACATTGCTGAGATCTCATTACTGTCTAGGAGGAGAGACAACTATACATCATCCCTTGGTGGCCTGAAAATAATTTCTTCTGGCATCCAATGGTGAAGGCTCAGTCAGCGATTTTTACATATTCAGGATTTAGATCTGCAAACCCATAAATATCCCAATTAATGAATTCCAAAGCATCGGCCCAAATGCAGAATGGGATTGCTGGTATGGAAGCTTTGTATGCAGAGAGCGAGTTCTCCTTATTAAATGACGAATCACCTTTGATTTCTTATAGTTGTGCACTTGATCGATTTGATGTAAATGTTCTGTACCTGGGTTCTTGTTTGTGCTGATGAAAAGCATTATTGGATTTTGCACAAAGGTTTTTTTTTTTTTTTTAGAGAAGATCTAAGAGTGGCCGTTAATGAGACCTAGAGCCTGACTCAGTACTTGTGGATAACAAATGGACTGAACTCTGCCTGTGTGTGCAAGTAAAAGTGTGCGTGATGGGGTTCATATGTATGTTCTCCACTTGGAGAGCCAGTTTGCAGAACCTCTGCATAATTCAGCAGGAGGATCTTGTTATACAAGCCTGTCGTAATAAGAAGATCCTTTTAAAAAAATCAGTCATAGCCACAGTGAAATATTGATCACCTAACTGCTTTTAAATGCAAACCTTCAAAATAATTTTCCTGGTATCAAACTCTCAAGCTCCCCATGTGGGCACACAGTCCTCAGTGATCATGAACAGAGAATACCGTATGAGTTTGATGGCTCGTAATTGGTCATTGTATGTGGAAAGGCAGGCATTGGATTGAGAGAGCAATGAAAAATAACAGACTTACTGTTCTCAGAAATCTTTTGAATGCTTGAGAGAGATACAAGGGCTTTCTTCCTGTCTCTAGTGATGTTTTGTGTTACTGCACATGCAAAATATAATCAACATTATATGTTGATTGTAAAGAAGAACATAGATCTGAAGTTTATTACAATAGTTATGTCTGGTACGTCATGCATCATTATTACTATTGCACATTACATACATGTGCTTAGGGATTTGTACCTATAATATAAACTATTGCATTTAGCCACATTAGTAACCCCACACCATTTATATTATGAATATGAATGATGCTTCAGAAAATGTAACTTGTTGAAGAGATGTGTACCATTACTTTTCTGTGCGTTCAGAGAACGTAGACTAAGCCATGTCTAGCAACCAGAATATCATTGGCTTTGTTAATGTGCAGGGTCGTCCTGTTTTCGTCAAACTACTATACACGCTAGCCAGATCTGATTTTTAATTTTTTATTTTTTCTGGTCAGAATGGTTTTGCTAGAACGTCCACATTGATTGCCAGCTTGTGCAGGTTCACCATCAGACTGGTGATAGATGATTGATGCACATGCGTTGTTCTTCAAATCTTACAACTACATTAAAATAATTATAACTGCAGCTAACATAATATTAATGAAAAAGGCCACTTAACGATAGTACACTTTCATGACTATAGTCAAAGACTTTAGATACACTTATATTTGTTATTAATGGGAGAAAGTGCAACATGCAATATGGCAGAATAGCCCCGCCTTCTAAATAAAAGAGACAATCACTAAATAGTAAATCACATCACTGCAGCTGCAGCTATAGAAACAGACAGTGTCCTGAGACGCAGTGTCGGCGCTACAGGGGGGTCCGGCCCGGCCACCTAGGTCACTGAGCACATCAGGCCCCCTCTAGAAAATGCAAATGCCCAGTTTGCTTGGGCTGGTGCCAACTCTGCTGAGATGCGTGCTTAGACTAAGACTTTGCTAGTGCACTTTGTAATAGTGTCAAATTAAACATTTTACTTTAAAGTACATTTTAAATCATTATGTTTTAATAATTTTTATCATGCTTAAGTAGAAGCAAGCTTATTTTAATGTGTTGACTAACATACTAAAGCACATGTAACATTTTAAATGTAGTGTGATATTACATTTAAAGTTCATATATTTTAAATGTACTAAATCATTACACATGTGTAAATGCAAATATATTTAAATACATAACATACAAGTTTCAATAGAGATTACATTATTTTAGTTGACCATAAATGCTTGTCATTACATTTGGCAGAATATTTTAACCGTATTTCAAAGACAATAATAATTATAAAATTATATGTACAGATGTACTTAAGTGGGTCAAAATAAGACAACTGAATTTAATATTTATAATACTGAATTTAATATAATAACATTAAGTGTTTGACATTACATTTAGTTTGTACTTAAGTATTCTATTTCCGTAATAAGTATTCATAAAGAATTATATGAAGTCTACTTCTTTTCAACAAGAGTATCTAATTCTAAACACATTTCAAAGGGTGGCATATTCAATGTTTAATGCTGTCACTTCAGGTACAACAGTTAAAAGTTTCCCTCTGGACTTTTGACAAGTACAGTTGACTAACTAACTTCAGATTGTTTGCTTAGAGACACATTTGACACACTCTGTGTTTTTTTACACCCTATACTTGCCCGTCAATACACAAATTCAGTACCTGTTTTCAAGCATAAACGGTGTTGTTCTTTTTGTTGCAACACCTGTATTAATAACCTGACACATAATGAATGATGAAAATAACAAATCAAATCTGATGGAAACAGTCATTCAGCATAAATTTCAGTTGGCTATGGCAAAAAAACACATTTTGTTTTCTGCCTGTGTGAACATACAGTGGCCATAGAAACTTGAGGGTTGACTATTTTTGACCTGGGCCTGTAAACAACCACCTAACAACCAACAGCACTAGCAATGCATTAAGCAATCACCCACAATACCCTAGTAACTGCACAGAACACCTAGCATATGATAATGCAATGCTATCACCTATTCATTTACAGATTGTTTCAAAGCAGTTTCACATAATTACAATTCTCAGTTATAAATCTTAACTATTTCTTGTAGCTTTTAAATAATATGGTTCTAACCCAGTTTCTATCTGATTATAATACAGTTCATTCACATTCATGAGCCTGTGAGTCAGTTCAACAAGCTGTGAATGGTCATGTGTTACTAGGACATTATGTAGATGCCCCTTTACAATACGAATGAATAGCTGACTTGTATTGTCATTGTCTCACTGATGAATAAAGTCTTAGATTGTGAGTAAGTGTAAAAACATTGCCTCTCATCCTTCAGAGGGCTGGTGTTCTGCCTGTAACTGTAGACTTAACAACAATGGTCCATTTAGCCTCATAGTTGACATCTGAGAAGGTCCAAGACCTCTTCTGCTAACCAGCCAGAGCACAGGTGGTTAGACAACACCAAAGAACTGGATAGAGAGCCAATGAAGGGAAAAACAATTTCAGAGCAAAATTTCAGGTGTTTAGCATACCACACAGCTCTATGATCTTATGCAGTATTTCATTCAACTGGAAATTATTTGAGCACTTGGCATTTTTACTTGGTAAAAATGCTGCCCAGCACACCCGACTTTCAAAACAAGGTAAGATGAACCTTTGCTTCTCAGGTTTACAGTGTCTGTCGACAGAGTAGCATCCATTGTTAGTGTTACTTAGAATGTATTAACGTTTAACAATTTTCTCTTTCCAATTTATGAACACATAATTAATGACAAAAAACCCAAAAAGAAGCAAATTACATTGAAGGCATAAAAGCTTCTCAAAAGAGAAAATTGCCTATTTAGTAGGGTTGTCATGTTTGTTTGTTTATTTATTTATTAATAGTATTGAGTGAAATATATTCTTTTTGGGGGGACTGTTTAAAAAGCAGCAATAAAATTCAATGGAAAAATGAAGTGCATGCATAAAATGAATCCTCTAGTGTTTACCTGCAAGTAGCACAGAACTCATTTAGATTTTTTTAGGTAGTTTTAATAATTGTTTTAACTTATCTTCCATTGTGGTACTTCATGATCAAAAAATTCCAGAGACTTTACATCCAGAATTCACAAGCTCTCAAAAAATGTTGAATGATTCTGATTATGTTGTATTTGCGAAAAAATCACTTGAACATAGTACAGCCACTCTGTTTTGGCATGAGCTGTCATGTTCATTTACAGATTGATGCTCTCTGCTCATCTGGAAAATCTTCCTCCGCTAAGGTTATCCTTTTATTTGTCTTGTGTGCTGCGTTGCTATGTGACGGCTGGCGTTCAGGCTTTATCATTTATTTCCAGTTGTTTTGGCAGTCATGGTTGAGGAAACACTGATCTGTCATTCCCACACTAAATGATCACTCCCATTAGCTACACTGGTCAATTGCTATGCTTCTGCTTGTCCAGGCTTGTTAGCCCCTGTTTGCTGTGGCATTTGACTCTACACTGGACTATAAATCTGTACCCTTTTCCCCTACTGTCATCCAGATGGCTTCACTTGATTTCAGAGTCTGTTACCAGTGTCAGACATGCTTCTTTGGCAGTCATTTATCTCACAGTTTTGGACAAAGCAACAGCGCATTTTAGAGGAACAGACCTCTTGTCAGCAGAGGTCAAAGGAGTGAAGGGGTTATTATATCTATGTGTTGAGCATTTTCCTCATTCCTCACAAAAGCAGTCTCAGCATAGTGAAGTCTCTCCTCCATTGGCATCTATTTGAAAAAAATCCTCGTGTCTCATTCCCAGTCTACTGCTGTGTTGCACTGTGTTTTTATTTATTATTTTTTTGTAAAAAAATGTTTGCTAACCTCGGAGGCTCGCCTTACAGGGGCTCTGCCTATAGTGTTTCACTGTTGATGCCATGGACTCCAAAATATGACGATACCGTTGTGAGGGACCACCTTTCTGAAAAATAAGAGGCAGCTGTATATAAAAACCTGGGCCCGTACAAAACCGACAAAACCTTTTATCTTACCACTAAGAGTTCTCCTAAATAGCAGTAAAAGTTTTTAG